TTTTTTTTATCATTTATTATACTCGTATAGTTTATCCTTCAATTTTTTGATGTAATTAATTGTGAGGATATATTTCCTCATAGTGAACCATTCTCGTGTTCCTGAAATGGACTGTACTGAGTAGCCTGCAAAAAATTTTGATATATTACTGAAGCTTATATTTTTATTTAATGGCACTGAATTATACTGCACATGTTTTTGTACTTTTATTATCAGTTTTGGGCACTCAGGTAAAGTTAACTTCAAAAAATAAATTGGAGAGATTTTAGTATTTTTCCGTGGCCTGGAATAGTTTAAATAATACTGAAATTCCTTGCTCCTTAAAAGTTAGGAGGAACTTATTGGTAAAACCATTGTCTTGGTCTCTTTAAAACTGGTAGCTTTTAAATTCTTCTTTCAGATTCTTCTGTGGAAATTATTCAAGCTTTCTACTGTTTGGATCAGTTCTTAATAACTTTTATAATTTTCGGGAATTAGCTCTTTCTTCTAAGTTAGCAGATTGGTTGCCCTATATTTACACATATTCTTAAACAATTATTTTAATTTTTTCCAAATGTGTTCTTTCTCATTTCTAATTATACATACACAGATGTACACATCCACGCCCACACCCAAACACTTTTTTCCATGAATAGATTCAAAGGAGATTTCTCTTTCATTGAGCTTTTAAAAGTATAAGCTTTTAGATTGTTTATAATGGTTATTATGTGTTATTTTTATTTTGTTAACTCGAGCTTTTTTTTTTTTTTTTTTTGGTTTTTTTGTGACTGGTAAGGGGATCAGAACCCTTGGCTTGGTGTCGCCCGACTGCACTCAGCCAGTGAGCGCACCGGCCATCCCTATATAGGATCCGAACCGGTGGCGGGAACGCCACTGTGCTCCCAGCGCCACACTCTCCCGAGTGAGCCACGGGGTTGGCCCAACTTGAGCTTTTATCTTGATCAGTTTTACTTTTTCTGGTTATTTTTTCATGTTCCTTTTACAANCTAACCCCCAATGTTTTGGTATTTGAAGATGGGGCCTTTAGGAGGTAATTAGATCATGAGGGTGGGAGCCCTCATGATGGGATTAGTGCCCTTGTTATTGCCAGACCAGGCTCTGCTTGCCCTCTTGCATTAAGTAAATGACTCAAAAGTCCAGAAGTTAGTGCAAGGATTAGAAAATTTATTCAGATAACCAGCATCTAGGGGATGACCAGGCTAAAATCATCTCGCCTTCTGATGCCTGTTTTGGGGTTTATAAAGGGGAAGAGGCAGGAAGATAAGGTAAGAGTCTTTGTCCTGAAGAAAGGGTGGTGGGGGGAAGTCTGGGAGCAGCAGATGGTCTGAGTCAAATGTCAGGGTCCCATAATGGATTGGAAACTTCAGTGTCACAGAGTGTGTGGTCAGCTTCAAATCCTTGATGTTACCTCGAGTTTGGAGTCCTTATCTCCTAGGGAGAACTCAAGGATAATAACCTTAGTCAGACATCATAAAAATACCTGATTTGGATTTCTAATTAACATGGGTGCAGTTTTCCTTTAAGTAAGAGGGGGAGTTTATAACCGGTTGACTCTCTCTTATATCTCCTCTTGTTTGCAGATAATTAGAGAGGTAAGAGAAACAAGAAACTTAGTTTTGGTCCTTAATTGTAGGTGTAGCCCCTCTGAAGTAAATCAACATAAGAGGCAGTGATTTCATCTCCAGGCCATCTCTCAATTCTTCTCCTAACCTCAAGGAATTGATAATTATTAGTTCCCAAGTTTAGGGCTGACTGAAACATTCTGCTTGGTCTTAGTTACCCCCAAAATGGTTGTTTTTCTGGCTAAGGCCCCTTTCACCCTTAGAAGAAGAGTCTTGAGATACCTTTCTCACTCTCTGTCTGCCATGTGAGGACATAGCAAGAAGACTTCCATTTGCAAGCCAAGAAGAGAGCTTTGTCATCAAGACCTTGACCACGCTGGAACTCTGATTACAGATTTCCAAGCCTCCAGGACTGTAGAAATAATGTCTGTTGTTTGAGCCACCCAGTCTATCATGTTTTGTTATAACAGCCTGAGCTGACTAAGACAGGTACTAAATTCCTTTACGAAGATAACTGAGTTCCTCCTTTAATAATAAAGAAAGAGAAAGCTGTAATATTTCCTTTTATTGTATCCTGTGGTTTGGGGTGAAGTCTTCTGTGTGTATTATTGATAAAATTTGTAATGTGTTTTGATTTCTTTCTATCCATGGTTATCAGTGAGTTTTTTTTTTTTTTTAAAAATTCGGACTTAGTTGATTGTGCATATTGGTGGGGTACAGAGTTGGATATCAATACCTGTGTGCAATATGTGATGTTCAAATCAAGATAATTAGTATACTCAACATTATACAATGTAGTAGTTTTTTATGGCCCTTAACCAATTCCTCCTTTCCCCTCTTCTCCATCACCTTTCTCACCTCGGATTATCAATGTGTTCTTAATTCCTAAGTGTTACAACATTTTTGGTCACTGTTTTATTTCTATTTCTGATTTTGTTGGATTGTTATAAAAGAACATTTTCTGCAACATTTTGAATAAGTTTGTTTTTATAATTTCTGTGTGGGTAAGTGCCTGGTAGATTTTTGTTCATGTTCTATGGATATGAAAATGTACATTCTCTATTTAGGGATGTAAGCATTTACATTATTAAGTTTGTTAACTGCATTTTTTTATATGTTTATTTCTGGTATATGTGGGCTGTTTGATACTGAGAAAGGTGTATGAAAAGCTTCAGTCCTTATGTATTTTTAATGACATTATCCCTGCATTTCCAGTAGTTTTTGTGTTATATATTTATCTGATCTGTTGTTACACGCATATAAGCCATGCACTTAGTGAAGAATAACAATGAAACCCTGACTTCTGAGGTTTTAATCTCAGATTATTTCTACATTTCATTCCATTTCCCCAAAATGCAGACATGGTTTTTATTTTTATTTTATTATTTTATTTTTTGGTGGCTGGCTGTTAACAGGGATCTGAACCCTTGACCTTGATGTTACAAGGCTGTGCTGTAACCAACTGAACTGACTGTCCAGCCCTAGACATGGTTTTTAGATGAGATTCAAGTATGTGGAAAAAATTCTAAAAAATAGCTAAATGCATTGAATGGGCCAATTTTCTTACAGGTGCTTTTCATGTATTAACTCATTTAATTTTCCCCTGAATTCCATGAGGTAATAAGTATTGTTATCTTAGATAACAGATGAGGAAACTGAGGCACAGAGGTGTTAAATAATTTGCTTTAGATCACATAACTTTTTCACAGCATAGATGCAGTTTGAACCCATTTAATTTAGAGCCAAAGCCTGTGGTCTTAGCCATGTTGGTATACTGCTTCTAAATGGAAAACTTCAATCTAGGATATTTACATAGAAGAGCTTCTTTAGGTTTCTCTGACTCCTTAATTATTCTTTGGTATTTGTTGTGTTCCACAGGAACCAACTCATAAAGGACATGGATACTGTTAGATTGTGGCACATTTTGGGTAAAATTTGATGTTTCCATTACACTTAAATATTGCCCAATATACAGAGAAAGTTTAACAAAAGTGTTACATCTGTAAAATATTTTAGTCCAAATATTTGAAAATATTTTTCATGGATATTTGGTACCTCTATCTCTAATCTTTTATTTTGTAGTAACTATTCTATCACCAAAGAGATGAACCACATAGTCACATTAAAAAGATAAAAATCTATTTTAAAAAATATAATTCACCAAAATTATTTTTCTCCTTTAAGTTGAGCAGCAGATAGGGAAATAT